CCCAGCTGTATCCACCCGCACAGTCTCCAGCCTCTCTGGGCATCAGCGAGAGAAGAGCCTGCGACTGGGTTGGTGGTGAGGGGGCTTGTCGTGGGGGGTTGCACGGCACCTAGCTGATACTTCTGTTGCAAGGCAGCGCCCCATGCAGGAGCACCGACGGCCCCTAGTGATGCATACACTACACTGTAGGCAGCTACTGAACACTTGCTTGGCCCTGAGGAACTAATCTGCACGCAAGTGGAAATACGGATACTCAGCTTCGCAGGCTATGCTGCGTCAGCCTCCCCTTCTCTCCCCAAGCAACTCACGCTGTCTCCCACAAAGGGATGTAGACATAGAGAGGACGTCTCTAGATGCCGTAGCATCGCGTACTGTTTTTGCTGCTCTAGATGTTCCTCTTGCCGCATTCCTTGCCGTTGCTTCTCCCGTTGCTGCATCGGTTGTCGGTGCATCTTTTGGTGCTGGCTCTCCCGCGGATCGGTTCGCAAGTTCTGGGGCTGGTGATCCCCGTTCTGCTGCGGCTGCCGCTTGCTTGTGTTGCTCCTGTTGAACTCACGCATGGACTTGTGGCAACCGGGGCTTGCTCCAGCTAATTTCGGAGCTCTTTGCCGTGCGCCTGAGTTGGAAACTTCATTGAATGAAGTCTTGCCCACCTACTAATTCATATCTCCGAAACTAACCCCCGCGGCTCTACCCAACGCGCGCCAAGCTTCTTCGGCTGCTCACCCCCCTGCGGCCTTCTGAGTAAACCCAACCCACTGGGGTTGAAAGGCTATGCCTTAAAGTCTTTTGGCTTAGTTTCTTGCTCGGCGTTCTTGTTTGTTCTTCCTGCATCCCCACGCTGCTGCAAGTTGTGGTGAGTGGTCATCAGCTGCGCGGGCACGGGAATGGCCCGTGACAGCCCGATATAACTCCAGAGATAACGTCGGGTCAGACAACAGTGTTTTTGTGTATCCCAGGGGGTACAGATAGCAACGGGTCGAAGAGTGTTCTGTATTAGTATAAACGCATTCCTCACAAGCGAGGAAATCAATCAGTTTTGGTGAACTTTTCCATCGGTATACAGCCGCACAGAATAAAAAAAAAAAAATACTTTTACTCCATTCATTTTGACAGTCTCTCTCCAGCTTTTTTTTTTCAGTGATCTTCCTGTGGAGATTTTTAAACTGCCCCATGAATGAATTCGCGCGAGAATTCGCTCAACAAATTCTTCTCCCCGCTCATATTGATATTTTTCCGAATGCCTTGGAGCTTACAGATGCAATCCCTGAATAGTTTCGTCACTCTGCCTGCTGACTTAGACTAAAAAGTAAACAAGCAGAGTGACAAAACTATTTGTTATGCCTCCCCCCCCCAATGCAGCGGAGATCTCTTTTTTATTTCCAGACGTCCTCGGCTCAGTGGCTCGGAGCTTGCTGTAGAGGAAGCGACGCCTCACAAGAGTTGCAGTGCACCTCGCTGCAACAACGAGTGCAAGCCAGCACAACAAAGTTTACTCGGCTGCATTCTTTATGTATATAGATACATACTGAGTATATGTATTTGCCCACAGGCATTCTATCAAGAGCAAGTGAATGCTCCTACGCTAACCTCCTGCACACCGTGCTACAAGCCCCCGCCTCTTACACAGCAGCTCACAGCAATGCTCGGCTGCGGGAAAGGCTAACAACAGTTTAATAACTCTTTTGCGGTGTATACTAACCCCACTGTACACAGCC